TGCCTTGGCCTTTCTGGTGACCACCCTCCATTCTGAAGCTACCTGGAGGCTGCCAGCCTTCAGTCAACTCAATATACAAAATCCATTACTTTGGAAATTCTAAGGACTTTCTTTTTTTGAGATAGAGCCTCAAGCTGTCCCCCTGGGTAGAGTGCTATGGCATCACAGCTCACAGCAACCTCCAACTCCTGGGCTCAAGTGAGTCTCCTGCCTCTGCCTCCCAAGTAGCAGGGACCACAGGCACCCACCACAATGCTATTTTTTGGTTGCAGCTGTCATTGTTTGGTGGGCCCAGGCTGGATTTGAATCCGCCACCTTAGGTGTATGTGGCTGGCACCTTAGCCACTTGAATCATAGGTGCTGAGCCAATTCTAAGGACTTTCAGAGTTGTATACCAGGAAATGGGCTTGAAGACCAAATATATATATGTATTTTTAACTTTGATTTTATTATTATTTTTGTCACTCTTGGTAGAGTGCTGTGGCATCATAGCTTGCAGCAATGTCCAATTCTTGGGCTCAAGCAATCCTTTTGCCTCAGTTTTTCATTTTTTTTTAGTAGAGATGGGGTCTTACTCTTGCTCAGGCTGGTGTTGAACTCGTGAGCTCAAGCAATCCATCTGCTTTGGTCTCCTAGAGTGTTAGGATTACAGGTGTGAGCCATCACACCCAGTCCAAAAGTATATCTTATAGTATCACAAGATTATTTAGAGAATAAAAGGGAATTATTTTTACAATTTTAATGTGTGCATTGATTTACATATTAATTTATATTTCTGTATAGTTTGTAATTTTTTTTTTTTTTTGAGACAGAGTCTCACTATGTTGTCCTCGGTAGAGTGCCGAGGTATCATAGCTCACAACAACCTCCAACTCTTGGGCTTAAGCAGTTCTCTTGCCTCAGTCCCCCAAGTAGCTGGGACTACAGGCACCTGCCACAATGCTCGGCTATTTTTTGTTGCAGTTGTCATTGTTGTTTAGCAGGCCCGAGCTGGGTTTGAACCTGCCAGCCTCAGAGTATGTGGCTGGTACTGTAATCACTATGCTACAGGTGCCATGCCAGTTTGTAAAATATTTTTAATGTCACTGCTGAAGATACCTAAGTCTTTTAAGAGAGATCTGTTTACATAGTTCTCTTATTAAATCCTGTCTGAGAAGCTCCTTCAAGACCACTAAGATTCCAGCTAAAGGGAATAAGAACAGAGAAAGATGTGAATTAACTACCCTGATTTTAGCTTGATTTTTGTGAACTATCAAATTGGCACCTCACAGATAAATTTGAGATCTGCTAAAGTTTGTAGGGCCTCTATCTCAGATTAATGGGTTAGAACCCAAGAGAGTCTCAATTCCACCTCTGGAAGTGTCCTCTACTTGAAGCTGCCATTCACCTGAATTGCAACTGGGATATATTAGAAAAGGTTACATAAATCAATGCAGACAAGAGCCACTTGTTACTGTTTTACTGTGTCCTTTTGTTTGCATTTTGTTCATTTTGTCTAGTCTATCTTTGCTTTCTTTGCCTCATTATTTCATGTTAGAAAGGTTTCAAAAGGTAGAGTCTCAGCTCGGCGCCTGTGGCTCAAGCAGCTAAGGTGCCAGCCACATACACCTAAGGTGGCGGGTTCAAATCCCCAGCCCGGGCCCGCCAAACAACAATGTACCTGGAGGCTGCCAGCCTTCAGTCAACTCAAT